GACATCGAGCAGACCTAAGGTAACAACATTCTATCTACGATAGAAATTTTTACAAATCGACTTATAAATTGTTAAATTGATGTAGCGGAGTTATTTATATAAGTGTTCAGGATTTAACTTTGTGTAATAATTTGAAAAAAAATAAATGGTGATTTATTGTTGTCTTCTAATGGCTCATAAAACTGCTTAATTATATCAATTTATTGCATCTATGTGCGATTTGAAAAGATCGTTAAATAATCATTCCGACATAATTCTCCATTTATAAGGAAAAGTTGGTTGAAAGGAATCCGTGGTGTAGTCTGCGACCCCGATGAAGTTGCTAAGCCTTCGTATGTATCTCCGTGACATACATCATCAGAGCAAGAAACCATACTTTGCGAAATAGAGCAAAAATATACTAAGCCAAGGGAAAAAAGTTACCGATTGCAAAGCTAGTTTATTTTTTATACAACTAACTTGCGATAGAAGTGGGTTGACCTCGTTGTCGCAACTTGGTCTTGTTGTCAGGGCGACTAAGTAAAACCGGAAGGGTATTACTTGACAGCTGTTTTCTTGCGCAAATAAACTAGCGTACTATCCTTAATGTCTTCGCTCATGCTATTGACTATTGTGTGTATGTAATGTTCGTGTCATGGGAAGTGTGATAGTTCTTGCTAGATTCCAGGCTAATCCAGCCTCCTCTTGTTTAGTGTTCTCCCCTCTCCTCCTCCTTAAGACTATCCAACAGCCACGAATTGCCCTACTCAATTTTCTACACTTGTTCCTCCTATTCAGGACTCTGGCTGTTTTGTTAATTTCTATAGCTTCTCTAATCTTACGCTTTGACAGAAAGTTCCCTTAATCCTCAAAACTTTGTGCTTTAGACCATTTTATTGAGTTTTCTCTATTGGTCATGTATTCGGCGATCTCAGATTTCGCACACATCTGCTCTGTTACCCAAGGGGACTCGTGGCAATATGGCATAGTTGTTAACGTGTCGAGATTACACGCCGCAATATCGTTGTTCGACTCTAGGTTTATCGATACGACCTAGGCGAGTTCGAAACTGCAGTCCAATCTGGATGAGAGCACCTTTTGGGAAAACAAGGTTATGTGGAATTAATGAACATGTCAACTCATCATCGTGGGAAAAGTTATCTACCAATCCTCCATTACCTTTAACGAAATAGGCTGAATACATCCCGTACAACTGATTTACTGGTAGTTTGAAACGAAAAATAACTTTATACAATTGTGATAGTCCATTGTCAAAATCTTCCAGGTTTCAAGCGTTACTTTAACTGAGTATGTCTAAATCATCTTGTTTTACGCATCACTCTACCCCTTATATGCAATAATCCTGTGGTGTACCCTTCTCATAAATTTTGTGCAGAGTATTTGCATTTGGAGATCTTGCATCTTACTAGAGAAGTGTGTTAATTTTCCACTTTTCTAGTTCTCTTCTGTCTACACATTATTGTAGAAAAGCCTGACTTTATTGTCTTCTGTCGGGTCTCTAATTATAGTCTCATATGTTGTATTATCGTCTAATGCCTTTACTATTTTATCTACATAATCAGTCCTACCCATAACTACTACTGCTCCCCCTTTGTCTGCCCTTAATACTAGTTGGTCATTCGCCTTATAATAGTATTAACTGTCTATTCTTATATGGTATTTCTACATGACAACCAATTAAAAGGAGAACTTGTGATTCAATGCCACTTCTAGTATATTCTCTGAAATGAAAGCTCATGTCACAGTATATCACTAAGGTATACTTCTAAACCCTCTTTTTATTCATAACTAATCATTATTCTCTAAGCATGTATATCTACTTCGTTTCTCTCCCATTTCTCCTTATCGTACTAGCATTACCTTCTTTTCAACCTTCTAGCTCTTACTGAGGCTGTTCGTCGTCGGACCGGTCACAATGAAAGCAGTGACAACGTTGTGAGTCTTGGTAACTTTTCCACTTCACCGCTTGTTATGAATACATTAAATTCATCTGTCCCCGGTCTCCCAACCAGATTTTGTATTGCCAATATTTCCAGCAGCAATGTTATCAGCGGCAATGATACAATCTCCAGTGGAAACAGTCACTCAATCGCCCCAGTAACGCAGACTGCCTCTCCTAGCTGTGTTCAACTTTCCGAGGTGTTCAACTCTCTTATCTCTTCCACTTCCGGTCCCAATAGCAATAATATCCTTATAGGTAACGGGAGTATTCCCATTATAGCTGCACCCGTCAGCCTCGGTGCTGGCACTAGCTCTACTGACGCCTCACATCAAATTGACTATGTAACAGCCCCTTCAACATGTATTTTCAAAATGGCGGCTACACCGGTATCCCAATCACAACTTCATCTTGGTTCTAATCTACAACCTCAGAAGAGCTCTCCTTCACCGCCAATTCCTCCGGTATCTACTTCCACTAACCAAACCATAAACAACCACGTAGAGCCCTTTTCGCCAGAGCAATCACAGCAGCATAATAAGCAACAGCAACAGGTTCCATCTCGATCTTTAGTTATTTCTGCTCCTTTGGTAACCACTGGTCAGGCCCTTAGCTTGGCTTCATTGAAGCATGGCCACTAGCTGTTTAAAACATTGTCCTAGTCATTCTGGTCCTTATATTCACCTTCTAAACAGCTCAACAAGGCTTACTGATATCATAACCATAGTATGGAAAAATGAAACGAAGACCAAAAGGCTCTATATATCACTCACTTGCCTTTCTTCTGTCCGCCCAAACACAG